GCTGGAGATATAACAACGGCTAGAGTAGACTACTGTAGAGCTCTACACCATTAGCGCATGACTGCGGAGTATAGTTGCGCTCAGGACCCCGTTAAGTGCCAAGCGCGGGTAGACTAGAAAATCAAGGATTTACAAAAAGACTGGACTGCAAGTGCTGCTCGTGCAGGTGCAAGTCCGGAGTAGACTATCTAGACTAATGCAGGAGCATGGCAGATTGATGATAGTCGAAGCTTGGAAATTATCTGGAGAGCAGATAGCCAGGGGAAACGGAACAAAAACTCAATAGTCTGGTTAACTCCTGGCTTGTCACCAGTCGCCCAAGGTTGGTTGGTTAATATAACGGTCTAACCAACACGTTGCGTGGTGTTGCGTACGCTGCGTTGATGTTGACGCTGACGTTGGTATACACAAGCTGATGCTGTCAGACTATCTATCTATCCAGACTTTTGATTTGATTCCTTCCATCTCATCTCAATTATCTCAAAATCAGGAACGTCGCCCCCAAAAGTTTTCTTCCCACGGTTGCCCTGGTCTCTGATCTTCGCCAAACCCTAATCGAAAACAGAAAATGTTTCACCCTTCCCGCTCAACTGGACTCCTGGCAACGAGGCATAGCCACCCAGCCAAACTCCAAAGCAAAGCCGACCGTCGATCTCACCCCGAGGAAAGCTGTGCGGTGATAACTCCGGTGGGATGGCTGAGAAGACAAGACCTGTCTTCATCTGTATGACTTCATATTTATCGTCACCGTCTGGTCAGCGGACTTTGAAGTCGACCGATTGCCCGATCGGTCAGAGTTTAGGAACTTCACTGGATGAGAATCTGCAGATTCCTGCACATGCAATCGATCCTTCTTTGCATCTTGGTGAATAGAGAGAGGTATTGATTGATGAGAAGAGTGACGATTGTTGTGCTCAGATGCTGCGTCGGGCTGCTCAGTGGCAGACGTCCGCCAGATGAGAAATGCATGGTCAACCAGCACAGTATACAGCACAATACCTACTTCTAACGTCAAATCAGACTTCATCAGCAAACAAAAAAAAAAGAAAAAAAAAAAGAGAGAGAGAGATGCTCGTCTGCTATCGACTGCCAACTATATCGCTGCACTGTCAGGTGTAGCTGAATCAGAGCTTACCGCGCCTTAGGTGTCCGGTTTCCGTGTCTACGAATAGTATCACCCTGCCGCTAACGACACAATGTCTGAGTCGCGTATACTAAATAAAGCCCGCGTTCTACGCCAGTCTCAACCACGTCCAGTTTGTGGCCGACTACAACTTGCTGTTGTACCCATGGCTCGTCTACATGTCTTCATTTGTCGATTGGGTTATTCGGCATCAATTTCTGTCGATGTTTCGGTTTATTTTCGTCCGGATATACAGCCAGCCACCACGGCAATATGACCCCTCTACCAGACAATTCCTGTGCTGTATTTCAAGTCACCTCACTTATGCTGCTGACTGCATTGCGCACAATGGGATAGAGACACCTACAATACCGTTCTCTATCCACCCACAAGCCCGAAAGCATCAGAGTGACGACACCAATCATCCAGCGACTAACTACCCAAGGAGACAATTGAGACAGAATAACATCAGAATAACATATCGGGGTTCAGGCTCATACCACACAGTCCAATAGCCACGGACCACTTCCTCAACTCTCCGCGGGCACGAATGGTGATTTGACAATCGGCGAATGGATGGAGTTCGCAAGGTCCAACCGCCATGCACTAGTTTCACATTTGCCTGCCCAGAGTAGCAGACACTGCGTCGATTCCCTGTCGCAGGGCTTGCGTGTGTAGAAGATGGCGTCCCAGGGTGTTTTCAGCGAGTTCTTTCAAGGTTTTAGCTGCCTGATTTCAGCAAGCTGGTGTTCGGGCTCTGGAATGGATGATGTTAAGGCTATTCTGAATTGCTGAGAATATACTACTACAACTACTCTTGACCATGTACAAGTCGTAGTTCTGCAGAGTATCCTACTGCCTGACTTGAAACAGTCCTTCAGAACGAGCTTGTCTCCACCCGGCCACGCTTACCATAATGTGGTTTGACTGACTCCTAACGGCGAGGCATCTTGGACATCATGCTGAGACTCAAAGCAACCCAACAAAGCCTGTAAATAAACGTAGCAATACTCTCTATCTACTGCATGAAAAGGAAAGACTCGTCCACATCAGCTACACTCTCTATCCTCCTATCCGAAGAACCATCCTCACACCATTTTCGAGCTCTCTTCCACAGTCCTACCATAACAAACAGGAAACAATCTAGCCCAGAAACCCGCTCGTTTCGGATTGCTCTCTCTTTCGCTCATCAACCATCGAGCAAACGTCCCCTCCGTACGAGAGGGACTCGTACTTCGCAGATGCGCAATCTACTCAGTCAGATACAGCAACAACCCTCAAAAAACCGAGTCCTCTCACCTCATCATACTTCTGCAACGCTAACCAATAATGCTGCGATAGACCGAACAAACCCCTAAGCGCCCTCCTGCCGATCCTCCCCGCTGCTATGGTATACATCGCCGAAAGAGCCTTCCGATCGAGCCTTCTTAGGTCGATGTCCTGTCCGCGGTGCAGTTTCCGACCTTGCCGTTGGTAAACCACCTCGATAAGGCTCGTCAGGATGTCGGCTTCCCAGGTAGCCAGGAGATCGTGATGAAACGACGTAATGTGTCGTTGGAGTCTCATCAGGTCGAGCTTGAGGCGCAGATTGCGGGCTTGGATCTTGGCGAGCTTGTATTCGAGGTTGTGGTTGCTGGCGTTCAGGGCGTCCAATGCTGCGGAGTATCTCTGCGAAGGAGGTCGTCAGTCTGTGGATTCCGGCTTGCGTGGGCTTGACTCACCTCTACTGATGAGAGGGAAGATTCAGAGTCCAAGGTCGATTGGGAGATGGATAGATCGGGGGACATGCTGTGGTCGTATGGTCGGAGTCTGAGACTCATGGTGACTCGGTCGGCGCTCAGTGGCTCTTGCTTCTTACTGTGATAGATGCTAAGGAATGAATGACTAGACTGTTGAACAAGATAAGCTGCTGCTAAAGGAATGATTGTCCGTCGCTCGTGTGCGCTGAGCTTGTGGTGTGGACGAATTCTCATGCCTGTAGATGTGTCCTACTAGCTATAGTACTACAATTATGATCGAATCACCAAGGAAAGAGCCACCCACTACATGGAAGGCACAGTTAAATGTCATCATTCGTGAGCTATGTACTCTATCGCGTCTATTTAGTTAGAGAAGTGTGTCAAAGACTCTGAAGCCAGATTATAGCTTGCTTCCTGAAGACTTTCCAAACTCGATTACCAGCTTTCCAAACTGCTTTCCTTCTTTCATGTCCTGGAATAAACGGTCAAGTCCCTCGATATCGCCCAGGTCGGTCTGCACAACGCGAGAAATCACAGGATGGATCTTGTTCGCCTTGACAAAATCGACCATCTCTTTGAACTCCTTGCGAGAGCCCATGGTAGAGCCACGAACGTCAATGTTCTTCAAAACAGCCTGCATCAGGAATGGCATCTTGGGGGACACGGTCATCCCATAAACGGAGAGGACACCACCAGCCTGTCTCGGTCAGTTGGGTTTCAGGCGGGCGCGCAGTTGGACGTCATACCTTGAGCAACTTGGTGGCCTTCTCGATAGAGTCACCACCTGCACCATCGATGATGGCGTCAAAGTTCCGCTTGCCGCTGGGAAGCATACCCAAAAGCTTCTTCTCCCATCCCTCCTCCTTGTAGCTCACACCACCTCTGGCGCCCAGTGCCACGGCTTTTTGAATCTTCTCCTCGCTCGAACTGGTCACATAGACATCCGCACCCCTGGCCACCGCGAAACGGAGAGCAATCAGCGCAACACCACCGCCAATCCCCGTGATCAAGACAGCCGCGCCTTTGCCAGAGTTCCTTTCGCCCGCCTTGACCACCAACGCTCTCCATCCCGTCAATCCAGTCAATGGCAACGCAGCGGCTTCCGCATCCGACAGATGCTCGGGAGCTTCTTCCACCTCGGACTCTTCAATGGTGAGGTATTCCTGCAGTGTACCCTTGTTGTAGACCTTTGTTCCGCCCATAATTCGATAGCCCTTGGGATCTTCCGGTCCGTCCGGAGAATCGTTCCAGCCGGTTCCAGGGTTCAGAATCACTCGCTTGCCCTGCCAGCGTTCGGGATTTGTCACGTCGGGGCCAGTGCCGACAACCACTCCCACCCCGTCTGCGCCTAGGGGAACATCGAAAGTGGCACCTGGGTACAGATGCTGCCGCAGGAAAACATCGCGATGGTTGAGTGAGGCCGCAGTCATTTTCACCAGGAGCTCGCGCCCCTGGGGTGTCGGCAAAGGCAATGTCTGGACGGAGAGGGGGTAGTAGACTTGGCCGGGTTTGCCATCGACTTGGGACATGAAGATTGCTTTCGACATTTTGACAGTAATATGAGTGTCTGCCAGTTCAGTACGTATAATTGACAGCGATGGACGAGAGAATTGGAAATTTGAGGTTTGGAAATTCTACCCCAACGCACATCGATGATCAGTAATACGTGCGGGGATGACGATGATGACGGCCGTTATCGATAACCGAGGCTGCACGGAGTTGCGGTGACTTGCGCGAAGCAAACTGATATTGAGTATCGACATCACCATCAGACTGTCAAAACGATGATATGATCTTTACTTTGCATGATACTAGTATCAATTTGGTGTATATTAAGAAGTGCACAGTAGCTAAGCAATTTGATCAACCTTGGTTCGGATAAGTCATAATTTATTTGTCAAACCACCACGGCTGTAGCTATGACAGAAGTGCGAGTCCAAGAATAGAATAATCACAACGTAGAAATCAATTCTTTTTTTTTTTCATCTCTTACTGTCGCTGAGTCGTATTACCAGGAGTACCCCATCTACTTGAATTTCTACGGAGGACCTGCATCCGGCTCCTGAATTGCTTGCCAACCTCATAAATCACCCTCAATCTCACACCAACACCGCGAACATCAATGGTATAGAATTAAACTAATACTTGCGATGTACCTGACGATTCACCCACGGACGCCGACGATGATAAGACCTCGTCTCAAAGTCCGCGTCGTGGTGGTGGCCCGTCTCCATCGACTCCTCGGTGGAATACTCGCACTTGCTGAAGAAGGTATCCTCGCAGCAGTCGAAGCGATCACAGCTCTCGAACCGAGTGAAGCTCTGTTGACACTTTACCGGTGCAGACGGATAATGGCTCCTCGGTCTTGGTGAGTCGCCGCAGGACAATTCAGGCTTGGGATGGGGACAGAAGTTACATCTGCTTGCTGGGTAGGAGATGTCTTGCGGGGTCTGGCAGTATGGATCTCCCGGGAGACAGGTGCTTTCGGCTGTACATGTGCAGGATCTGTCTAGAGAGCAGGGCTCTGGGCGGGAAGTGTCGCGTGCACAGCCTTGACAGGTGAAAGTCGGGGCGGAGCAGCTGGGGATCTGATCCTGTTGGCCTTCAGGACCGCAATGTCTTGGTTGATGCACTCCCGGAGAGCAGGAGTTGGGGTTCTGCTGCGGTGGCTCTGGGATCCAGTGGTGGTTTTCTGCGTTGTTGCCATGTCCATATCCATGTCCGCATGGATAGGTTTGTTTGTCCGGGATATTGGCAGGACAGCATGGCCGATCAGCCGTACAGTGGTCGGATGTCTGGAGGATATGTGATCCTGTACAGACGGGTCTGATCTTCTCTCCCAGTGCAAGACCAGTCCGGGGGGGTTTGCCGTGCCAGTACCAGGCATATGGCACAGAGGTCTTGTCTTGCTTCTCTTGCTTCATCTTGGGGAAAACTGGTGTATTGTGATGTAGACATGTGCTTGTTGGCTTAGGAGCATGCTTGAGATATATATCGGAACAGTACGGGCATTGTGGAGATGGCCATGCTACAGAGTCTTTCAGCAACAGACAAACAGACAAACAGAGCGCCAAATCTTGGTATCCATCAATGACGATTGATGATTGCTGCAGACAAAGACTTGTCATGAGGATACGGTGCCTGAGGCTTCAACATCAGACGCGGAGGTTGGTGATGGTGAGGCATGTTGCATGTATGACCGGTAAATGCCATCCACCTTGCCTTCATACCTTGCATCCCTTCTGCGTCTGAATAAAAGGATGATACCGTAAGCACTATGCACCATAGAAATCTCTTCCCCTTTCACCCTTTGTTCCAGCAAACAAACGAAATATTGCATCTTCATGGAGTCCAGCCATCTTGAGGGGTCCATACAGAGTGTAATTAAAGGCGGCGTTTGACAGCACCAGTGACCCGATGGACGTGGCAGTAGGACCATGTGGGTTATGTCCACACACTGTGGAAAGTCGTTTACTCATGCCATACACCGATCACCTGCCGATTCAAGGCTGGTGGATAGATAGCAGGAGCTTTGTCGCTGATGTTCCTGAGATGAAATCTAATCAATCATAATCATCTATATCGTATGATAGATTTACGAGTCAATTATGATCTCACGCGTGTCCTACATACACGTCTCCTCACACTGTTTTCTAATTGACTTGATACTTCTGATCTAGGTAGGAAAGTAAGGTACCTGTAAGGCTGTACCCATTCTTTGTGCGTTTGTGGATGCCCTGTATGGTAAAAAACCGCGTAAAAGTGGCTGGCAATGAAAACAGTCCAAGCCCCCCAGACACTTAAATAAAGCCGTGTGATAATTCCACGCGCTGCCTGCCATTCGCCCGCCGCCTCGTCCATTTTTCACAGCAGCCAGGAACTTCCACCTTGAGACTCTCTGCGACTGACTTTACTCGATCTTCCTGATCTTGACCTGGATCGTCTGCCCGGTTTTGCTCTATCCTCTTCTCCAAGGAATAAACAGTCTCCCTCATTTTAAAAAGAGAAAAAGGTTTGTGTCAACAGCTTCCTCGAATGTTGCCTCCAATACATCCTGTTGCAGCTTCTCCGGTCGGTTACTGATCTACTAGTCTTCTTCTAGCTACCTACTCTTTTGCTCTTGTGTCGTGCGTCGTTCTCCCACGCAAACGTTCCCTTCAACTTTCCCAATCCGCCACCAGAACATACTGAGAACCAACTCTCTCACGCGATCGAGTTTTGTCTTGACTTGACTCCCTCTTCGCTGAACCGGTGATTTACCTTCATCAGTCAGCCATTGTTTCCATAATGCCTACGCCACTTCCTTCGAGTTTTGCTTCGGCCGCTGCTGGCAATCCTCAGGACGCTTCTAGCAGGAGAGGTGACGGAACTGCCGGTGGAGAATGGTATGCAATCATGTTTTCTGAGCATTTCCCTGTCAATACATATTTCCTCTGTTTTCCTTCTCCATCCCTCCCCCCGCGGACGTGTCCTTACCTAACCTGAAACTTTCTTTGACAACTGATACCCTTGCGTTACTAGGTCTCGAACTCGCATGAACGGAGCAACACAGACTTTCCGCCGTCCGTCAGTCGCAACGAACCCTTCTCAAACGCGAGACATCCCTCAAACTACATCTGCTACGCATCCGACGGTCGGTGCTTATACTCCCCCACACATGACCTCAAATCAATCCAGCGCACTCCGCAACGGGGCCGGCGAGAATCGTTATTCCAAAGAACAACTGTTGAGTCTCTACAAAGCTCAGCGTGAGTCGGGTGCTCTAGGTAAAAACGTTGCGGATTACTTTATCGCCGACTGGAACCCTCACGTGGAGACTCCTCCCACCAACGGAGCATGGGGAAAGCGAGAGGATTCCAAGGATAATCCCTCGGGACCTGAGATTTGTTGGGATCATGGCGGGCAGGTGGAGCCTTTGGGCTTAGTGGATATGACTGATGATGAGAAAGAGGTTGGTTTTGTCTTTGTGTGCCCCCTTGGTTCTGAACACCTGAAGATCGCCCTTTGATTCATGTTGGAAAGTGCCGTGCTGAATCGTGTAGTTATTTTCCGCTTCGGTCAACTCTCCGCTCAAGCCTCCCCCGACCAGTGCCACCAAGGAAAATACCGGTGCTGCCACTGGAGGACGCAAGTCATCCATTTCGTATCCCCAGAGCCACATGAACAACTACAACACGTCTTCCCCCAGCTCCGCGCGCCCTGGCCCTAGGCGTCGGGAGACCGGCGATTCCGTGAGTAACGCCATGTCTCCTACCACCAGTGGTTCCCGTTTCTTCCGCGACGAGCCGTCTACCTCTACCCCGCCTCCGTCTCTATTGCGCCGCAAAACCGATTTCCGCGAGACTACGTCTACCTCCAAGTGGGATCAGAAGGATAAGGAAGCTCCTGCCCGTGATGGTGGCTCTGGAGAAGTGGCCTCTCCGTTTGGTTCTCTGAAACGGAGCGCTACCAATCCTACAGCTGCTGCGACTGGGGCACCAAGCTCTCCATGGGGCGCCGCTTCGCAAAGCGCTAGCTTTTCGCCCATGGGTGCCTTTGGGGCCTTCTCCTTGGGAACGAGTGCTTCTCAAACTCCAGCCACGGAGAAGAAGCCGGGCTTTGGAAGTGTGCGCGGGGAGAGTCGCCTTAAGGGCTTATTCTCCAAGGATAGCTCAGAGGATATTTCGGCCTCCATCAAGGAGAAGCCTTCCCTCAGCAACTTGGAACGTTTGGCCGAAGACCAGGGGGAGAAACGCTCGCAGTCACCCTGGGGGGAAACCGTCAAGACGCGCACTGGCCGCAGTGAGACGAACCCATTTGCAGAGGAGACTCGTAGTGGAAGCGCTGCACTTGGAGGATCTCAGGACGCGAGCGCGCCGTCTCAAACCGCAGACCAGCTAGGCTTCTCCGCCTTTGGAATGACATCCAGTATTCCAGGCTTCAGAGAGCTCATGCAGAGCCATGAAAATTCCCGCAACCCCACGCCGAGCTTACTCCAAGGCCAGGAGCCTACTAGCCCGACCAACACCAATCCTTACCAGAGCCCGCACGGCGAACGGATCGACGCTGACGATGTCGAGACCGACGGATCGGACATTCAAAACACCCACCACCCTGGTCTCTCAGGTCTTCGAGATACGTCCGGCCCATTTAGCTCGATGCGAAGAATAGGGTCGGGCATGGATCTGCCTTCTATCGACCGTAGCCAGACTTCCAGTGCCGCAGGCAACCGCAGCTTTTCTGGTCTGGGCGGTCTCGGCGGTCTTCCTACTCTGGGAGGCGCTTCGGCTTGGTCTTCTGGCGCTGTTGGGACTCCTACTCGGGAGAGGTCCGCCTTCTCTACCGGGTTCGGCGATCCCATCTTCGGCACCATGGCTGATCTTCAGTCGCCTAGTCTGTCAACACTGGGAGGCGGTGGCATCTTCAGCCCTGGTATTACGGGTACCGGCAGCATTGGCCGCTCCAGCAAGCTAGGCTCTCTGTTTCCCCCGGCAATGCAGGAGCAGATGCAAGGGGATCAACTCAGACAAGGCAGTTTGGAGGATGGTTCTCATCATCAAGGTAGGTCTGATTATGCTCTATATAGATTTTCCATACACTAACCCCTCTTTGAAGAAGTCTCACAAGGAGACAAAGCTGGTCAACCGACGACAACCTCGACGTCCCAGACTCCTGTCTCTGCGATCGGTTCCGTTCCGGCCTCTATGGCTTCCGAAGCACCACAACCGAGTCAAACTCCAGGACAGTCCGGAAGCAACGCTGGGTCTGTGCCTCCTGCTCAACAACGGACCATGGTGATGCCCGACCGAATGCGCTGGATTTACCGTGACCCTCAGGGTAACATTCAAGGTCCATGGACCGGGTTGGAAATGCACGACTGGTTCAAGGCTGGCTTCTTCAGCCCCGATCTGCAGATCAAGAAGCTCGAAGATCCAGAGTTTGAACCATTGGCGCAGCTGGTGCGACGCATTGGGAACTCCCGAGAACCCTTCCTCGTACCTCAGATCGGAATTCCTCATGGACCCGACCCCAACGCTGGTGCTCCTTGGACCGGAACCACCACCGGTAGCGCGCAGCCTCCCTTCCCTGGCAGTTTCCCGAGTTTTGGTACCACCTTAACCGCCGAGCAGCAGAACGCTCTGGAGCGTCGGAAGCAAGAGGAACAATATTTGATGGCCAGACAGAAGGAGCACCTCGCTCAGCAGCAGGCGATGATGAAGCAGATGCAGTTGCAAGGCACCGTCCATCCTGGCATCCACCCTCAACTTCAGCATCATTCCAGCGCCCACAGCCTTCACAGCCAGCCTAGCTTTGGCAGCATTGCTTCGCCCATTGGATTCCAGCCATCTCCGATTCAGGGCCCAATGCAGCAGCAGCCGCCCCAGTCTGTGGCTGGTTTCTTCGATGCAGCAGCACCATTGAGGCAGGGCCCGCAGATGGTCGGAACCGATCTGGTCAATAGCCCGCATCAACTTGCGCCGCTCCTTGATCGCTTGAACATGAGTCGTCCGGATCCGTTCGCGTTTGGCAGCCCGTCGTCTTTTGCGGCTCGGCAGCCGGACAATCTCTTTCATTCCCAACAAGTAGCCACGATGTTGCAAGACCGTGCCCGGCTGCAGCAGGAACAAGAACAGTTTGACAGTGGTCAGGGAGACAGCCTTTTCGAGCAGCAGGCCCGCGAAGACCGGCTGCGTCAGTTTCATGCACTAAGAGCGCAGGAAGGCGATTTCGGCATGCAAAGTGCTGAAGGCCTTCCTTCCCATCATGCTGCCGAGCCTTCCCAACAGCAGGAAATGGCACCCATTGGTTCTCCTCAGAAGACCGGTACCAGCTCTGGTGTTGACCAGGGCACCGCTCCAAGCGAGGAAGCCCCGCTCACTCTGTCTCAACAAGTCCAGAAAGCTGCAT